TATGTTGAGGACACCTGTACTGCACACAAGGCTCCAGGTGTGCTCCTTGTACTGTAATTCACAAACCACACTGTAACAGCAGTGCCACTAAAGCCAAGCAGATCCAAAGCATCTTCTCACCACCAGCAGTAGCAGCAGCAATTGCTTTGCTTACCCTACCAACCACGGGGGCAGGTCCCTACTGCTCTATAGCAGCAGCAGCCTCAGACTTGACAGCTGCCAGAGGTTTCTACATGCACCAGAACTGGTAGCATGTGGTTGGAGGGATTTTGTTCACAGCACCATTATAAGAGAATACATATAAATAGATTACAAATAACCACGGGTCTGTTTTCATTGTCAAAAATCTGCTTTTGCAGTTTTCTGTGCACCATGGACCCGCTCAACAGCCACCACCAAAGGTGTTTCCCCAGAGGTTTCAACACCGAGTTTACTCAGTGCAGCTGGGGAAGAGGCACATGCTTCACATCAATGACAGAGCAACAGAAACTGAAACCTCATCTTTTAAACACAAACCCTTTGGCCCCACTCTCTGTCAGGCCACACTGCTCTTACCTCATTTGCAGCCACACCGGGCTCTGGTATCCATCCTCCTGCACCCACAGGCTAAACCCACCCGTAGTGTTCCAGCTGCATGAGGACCCCCTGCTCCTGCCTGCCCTCACCTCACTGCCCGCAGGCAGGTCCCCCATCTGGGAGACGCTAGGAAATGGTCTCAAGGTGGCAGGGGCCGCGGCCCACACGAGTGATGCGTTCTCCTCACAAGGTTAAACGCAACGCTTTGGCCAGCGCAGAGATGAAGGCAGCGAGGTGCAGGCGGCTCGGGTACAGGCACACCCCGGGGGGGTTGTTACGCCTGCATGGGGAGCAAGGACCCGAGGAAACGCCTCTGCCTGGGGCACCCCTCGCAGCTCTCCGCACCAGGGGCTCTCATGCCGGGGCACTGTGGGAGTGTTGAACCCACCGGCGAGGCGAGCCGGGCCATACGAACCGGAGTTCCCTGGCCCTATGCACCCCGGGGCGTCCCGCACATGTGCGGCCCGCGGGTTCCCGTACCCTCTGCACCTCAGTGCGCCCCCAGGCCCGACTCCCACTCTCGGGGTCCCCGTCTCCGTTTCTCCCACCACCCCCCCCCTTCCCCAGAGATGGTGCTGCCCTATGGGCCCCAGCGAGCGAGCGCGGCCGGCACCACTCACCGTGGCGGGGGGGAGAGGCGCGCAGCCCCGCTCGGCGCCCTCTCCCCGCGCTGCGCGCCATGGCCGCGGAAGGGCAGCGTCTCCTTCCCCCGCTCCGCAGCCTACCCTGGGAGGGGGCAGCACCGCCCACCGGCGCCCCTCCAGCCAATAAGAGCGGCGAACTGCCTGCCGGCTCGCCAATCAGAACGCATCCCAGGGACTAGCTCGAGGATGAGTGCGGCTGAGCAACGAGGGGAAGGGGCGGGGAGGCGGAGCCAACGCTCATTGGTCAGCGGGTGACAGCTCCCCCCCGCTAGCGAGGCTCGGCTTAAAGGGGCCGCGGCCCCAGCCAGCTCCCCCGCCCGCTGAGGCGCTCCCAGGGGAAGCCGAGCACCATCAGGACCGCTCCGGTTCGGCTCCCCCGTCCAGCCGCGGTGCCGCCCGCCCGCCCGGCTGGATTAGCTCCGGGAGACCCCCCCCTCCGGTGACACGCAGCCCTTTTAAGAGTCCGCGGCGCGGCTCGAGGAGGGCATCGATCGGGGCTATAAAGGGCGGAGGCGCGGGGCCGCGGTGACAGCGGGGGCGCGGCGAAGGCGGCGGCGGGTCCCGGAGCCGCCATGGACTTCAACGTGAAGAAGCTGGCGTCGGACGCGGGGGTCTTCTTCTCCCGCGCCATGCAGGTGAGCGGGGTGGGCCGCAGCGCGTCGCCATGGCAACGGCGCCATGGACCCCGGGGCTCCGGGCCTGCCCCAGCCGCAGCCGGGAGAGGCTGGGGAATGAGCAGGTCTGAGCCACAGCATCAGCAACAGCCACCATGAGCGGTGCTGCGTGACCGTGGGGCTGCTGCTGTGGTAAAGGTGGATGAGGAGAGCCCCAGAGAGGCTTCTGACCTGCGGGGTGTGGAGGGGACGTCGCTTTCTTAACGGTGGTTGTGCTTATGGTAAAGCTTATCCTGTAAAGAGCTGTTGTTGGCTGTGCCCGGGCCCTTGTGTAAGGGCGTGTGGCAGAGGTGGCCGTGAGGGGGTCTGCACCGCAGCCCCTCAGCAGGCAGCAGCTCCCAGGCCCTGCCCAAACACAGTGCTGTAAAGTGATAGGAAAGAGCTGCTGAGGTTGAGCAAGCAGTGTCTCAGTAGGGTAATGTGGCATCAGGCCTGGCCCTCACAAACACTGAGGGATGCAAAGACCCCCCCCGCCCGGAGCTGTGGAGTGAAGAAACAGGGCTATCCATGAGGAGCAAAGCAGAAAGTGATGAGATGTGGTGGCTGAGTCTGCTTCTTGGGCACAACAACTGGAAACCCGCTCCTGGCTGGGTAGGAGAGGAGAGAGATCAGTCAGAGCTGGTTGGGATCCTGCCTGCAAAGTGAACTCCCCCCGGTGCCTCTGGGACTGGGCCGTTCCTACGTGTTGTAGAAGACAAGGCTCTTGTGTGGGGGTTGATAAACAGAGCAGCGTTGTCTTGTTGCAAACCTTCTGCGTGGCGGAGTCATTCCGGCTCTTTTAGGAACCGATCTCCTGTAAACAGATATCACCTCCTGCGACCGTGCCAATGAGTCATATGTTATGAAAAAGAGAGAGATTAACTACAGGTGCAAAAGAAGGAGCAGATGGAAAGCTTTAAGATGCTGTTCTCATGCAAATGACCCTGGTTGCAGGGGAAAGAAAGAAATGATGGAAAGAAATCTCATGTTAAGCCTTATTGTAAATCTCTGATAAGTGGTTTTTAGCTTCAAGGCGTAGGAAGGAGACAGGCATGAGAACAGTGTCTGCACGCAGTGATTCCAGAGAAAGGAGGCGTTTATAAATAGTGGCTTCTGCCTGCGACACCTACTCCACATAATCTCGTATATGAATATTCATATGTCTCATTACAGTAGTAATTCCTTGGAACAAAACGGGCCCTGGGACTTGTGGACAGCAGTCAGGTGTTTGTGTGAGGAGGGGAGACTGCAAGGAAATGGTTACTGAGGCTGAAAAACACCTTCTGAAATGTAATTGGGGGGGGGGGGGGATTTGGCCTGTTTGGGCTGTCCCCATGGAGTCCTAGTGTGGGTGAGCACTGCCCTGTCTCCACCAAGAGCCACAAGTGACAGTTGGGGTCTGTGGCTGGCAGTAAGGACGGGGTTTGTAGCACTCTTCAGCACAGCAGATCCTCCAGGAGGGGAATAAGCCCTGCCTAGAATAAGCTCCCTTTTCTGTAGCACTGGAGATGCTTTCTTCATCTCCAGGCATTTAACAAAGTGATGTTTTACTGGAACCGCAGCGACTGGGAGATAAATGGACTGGCCATTATGTGCTGTGCTGCTCAGACACCATTAGCTCCTGCTGTCTGGCTGAGATGTCTGACCAACACACAAGAGCCGAACCCCAACTGAAGAAGGGCTTTAGTGTTGCTCAGCCAGGGGGAAGGGGTGCTCAGCACACCACTTCTGGGGTGGCTTCCCAAAAGCTGAGGGCAGGAGCAGTCCTGGTTTGAAACCTATCAAATACAACCTAATGTAGGTTCCAGATGAAGTATTTTGGGCTAGGCTTGACCTCTCTCAGGCCAAAACAATAACTCAGAAACCCACTGCTGCCTTTACATGGCTTTTCCTAGCTCAAGCAGCAGTTAGCAGGACACCTGCCTGAGGAGAAGCTGGGCAGCTTCCAGGGTGGGCAATCCTGTCCTCATCTCCAGCAGGAGCACGACAGAGGTGGCTGTGGCAAAAGCTGTGTGATATCTCCCCAAAGCTGTATAAGCACTACCTTAGCAGGACTGTGTATACAGCTCTCTGACCAGACCGTGTTCTGTGGGTATCATGGCACCTCTTATAATCTCCTTCAGAAAAGCAAAGCAGGGAGTAGAAGCTGGGGTGGGAAGGTGGTGGTCAGCTTTGCTACCCTGGGAGTAAGGAACAAGCTTAACAAGCTTCTAGGCTTGAGCAGCTGCAAGGATAAAGAGCTTTTGTAGGGTTCATCATCTCCCTTGAGGTTGTAACTGTACTGACACACCACCAGTCACAGCCATCAAGATGCATCCTCAGGTGGGATGCAGCACCTGCAGACAAACTTCAAACAGATCATTCTTCTCATCTTCACTGAAGAAGAGTAAGGCCTTTCTGTTTGACCAGATGCACCTTCCAGTTATCAGTAAGTGGTCTGATCCCAAACCTCTGCAGGGGAAGCTGTGCCAACAGCTCCAGCTTCCCCACAGAGCTGGCATCTCTCCTTCCAAAGGTAACACACTGGATGTCTCTGTTCTAGACAGGCTGCAAGCCAGGCTCTCTCCGGGATGTCTGGAAATAATTGTAGGTGTCTGTCTTTTGTCATTTCTGATATAAATTGGCTCTGGGTGAAGTTGCCCAAGTGTGAGTACAGCTTTTGGGTGCTTATCCCACTGCTAATGTAATTACTACCAGCAGCTAGAGGTTGACTTATTCTATCTCGAAGCTCCTGCAGACAGACTCTCACATCTCCCTGAACTCTGGTGATAAAACAGACTTTAATATCTATAATAGACAAAATAGACTCTGTTTGCTGACCTTACTGGGGTTGATACCTTGGTTGCTGGAAATGTTAAGAGAGCAACAAGTGACTTAAGTAGAGGGGTTTTAAGGCAAGAGGTACAAGACAGAGCGTGTTTCCATTTGGAACACACCTATGAGTCTGTGAGGGTAGTTGTAATGGGTCTGGCTGAGATGGAGTTAACTTCCCCATAGCAGCTCTCATAGTACTGTGTGTTGGTAGCTAGAAGGGTGTTGATAACAGCAGTGTTTTGGCTACAGCTGAGGAGTGCTAGCACAGCATCAAGGCTGCCTCTCCAACATTCCCCCTCACCAATAGCCTGGGGGTAGACAAGATCCTGGGGAAGGGCATAGCCAGATCAGCAGACCCCAGCTAACCAAAGGGATATTCCATACCATATGATGTCTGCTCAGCAATCAAAGCTAAGAGAAAGGAGGAGCATTGGTTATTTATGATGTGTGTCTTCTGGAGCAACTGCCCTGTGTCCCAGGAAGTGGCCAGACATGGCCTGTTGGTGGGAAGTAGACTATCAGATCTCTTGTTTTCCTTTGCTTCTGCACATGACCTTTGCTTTTGCTTTACCAAACTCGCTTTTATCTTGATATATGAGGGGTTTTCCCATCTTCTTTTCTTCCCCCCTGCCCTGCTGAGGAGGTGAGTGACAGAGCAGCGTGGAAGGCACCTGAAATCCAGAGAAAGTAAACCCACCACAGCAGTATCTTTTTCCTCTCCTAAATGTCTTGCTCATGAGTTAAAGCAAGCTGGCCTGTTTACAGCTTCCTTCTGTCCTCTAGCACAGTTTCACTTGGCTCACAGCCTAGCTCTCCTGACTCCTGGTGACCAAAGACTTGAAGCGTGCCCTGTATCCTGTCCAGAGCTGCTGAAATTCAGGTAGTTTTTAGATGCTGACTGAGCAGCTGTGGCTTCTGTACAAGGCGGGAGGTAGATTTGCCTCAACTAATTCTGTCATGCCTCTGATCACCCAAAGAACAAATGTTATCATAGCCTGAGCATTTTGAACTGTTTGGGGGCTTCAGAAAATCCAACAACCCAAATCTAGTGGCAGATGAAGGAAACTCTTCCTGGTTTAAGACTCCTGGTCCTGGTTTGATCTTTGTGATGTAAGGTGGAAAATCGTAAGTGATGTCCACCTGGAACATTACTAAGGACCCTGCAAGTGGTACAAGGGCCTGAACTCTGCCACCAGATTCTCTGCAAGGGGGCTGCAGCTACCCTGGCAGAGGTCACATACAGCCTGGGCCAGCTGGAGGGGACAGGGATGCAAAAATCACACAAGCTTAGAAGAGATACAAGTCGATTTGTGCTGCATTGTGCAAAGCAGCTGTGGTGTTGGCATAGCTCAGTGGGAGCACTGGGGTTTTAGTGCACTCACTTTTATGGGGCTTTTAGCAAAGAAAACAATTCATGTGCTGTTCTACAGCCTGACCTTGATGGCTTTAAGTCACTAGGGCTATAGGCAGAGCCTTTTTGATGCTGTAGCTACAGAGGGACCCATCCTGCTCAACTCTACTTGCTGACCCTCCTGATGTGCCACTAGTGTCTCTACCAACTCTCTTAGGGAAAGGGGAGGTGTGAATGCAGGCAGCTGCCCTAACTGCAGCCCAGCACAGTCTTGTTTCTCTTGGGGCTGTCACCCAAGTGCTGCTCAGCCTGCTTGCCCCCATGGGCCTTGATAATGCATCCAGCATTCCTGCTGGCCAGCCAAGCCTCCCAGAGGAAACCCAACCTTTGGCTGAATTATTGATGCCCTGGAATGCAGCACTTCTCTTCCTGGAGAGCCAGAGTGGCACTTGACAAAAGGCTGCTCTGCATTATTAATCATGTCACCAGCTTCCCTGCAGAGCCGTGGGGCTGGTGCTCAGCTGGGTCAGCTGCAGGGACGCTTCCTGCAGGGCAGGATCACTGGAGCCTCTCAGCACTGGCATGTGATCCCAGGATGCAGATCCTGGAACCGGTTCAGGGCAGGGCTGATGATCTGTCAGGTTCTGGAAAACAAATGTAGTAGTTCTGCTACAGCAGGATGGAGGAGCTCAGTGTTCTCCCCAGACGTTGCAGTTGGATATGCTCTGCCTGCCTCTCTCCCAGGTGGATATGCACCAAGTCAACCGGATAAAACCAAATAACACCCCCATTTGTAGCAGTCTGGAGTATTCAGTGCTGCAAAAGACAGCAATGCCTTTAAGAAAACACTTTTAATCTGTCTTTCTACAGTCAGGAGGCTGAGCATGTGGGAGATCAGTTCACCTCTGCTCCTGCACCTCTTGGCCTCACAGTGAAATCTTGTGTCTGTTCAATGGGAAGGAAAACAATGAAATCTCTGTAAGTGTTATGAAAACAAATTCCTGGGAATAAAAATCCTTCATGGGGGAGTTCTGCTGGAAGTGTTTGAGCAGCCAGACTTCATAAACTGCTGCTGTTCTACCCTGCTTTGCACTGAGAGCGCTGACTTGGGCAGCTGGGTAAGAGGGGATCAGCAGCTGAGACCTGTTGCTATCTGAAAGCTCAGATCCCCACTTGCATCAGACAAGAACCAGCTCATAACAAGGTGGTGTGACTTACCTGTCATCTCCCTTGCTGACTGTGTTTTCATGAGACCTTTCATCTGTTCTCACTGCACACTGCTGCTGCAAAAGGTGGTCCTGCTCTCCCCTGCACCTGATGCTGTGTACTCAGTAGTACTGTGAAGTTGGGTGAGTTCCCTAGTCCGTCTAAAAGTCACATTTGAGGCCAAGTTGTGCTGGATCAGTGGCTTCCTGTGCACAGATGAGAAGGCAGAAGTGTGCTGCAGGGGAGGAATAGAGCACCCTCTGCAGCAGCCTGCAGTGAGAGGTACCAACTGCCCCAGGCTGTGCAGGACTCTGCAGCATAGCTGATTCCTGGGCAGGGGTCACAGAGAGACACCAAGGGAATTAAGTATAAATGGAGTAACAGCCTCCCATGCCCTTGCACCCACTTCATGACATTCATGCGCTGCTTTCCTCCAGCTGAGAGAGCCTGAATAAGAGACTGTTTTCTGGCCTGACCCTTTGGAGCCACAGGCTGTGGCTGAGACTCTGCCCATCCTCCCCTTCTGGCATAGCCCCCGGGCTTGCAGTGATTGTGGTGCATGTCCTCAGCACTGCAAGACAAACACGTTTATTGCCTATCCTGAGATAAGAACCGAGTTTGACTCCTGGCTGCTCCCTGTGCACTGGGTGAAGGGGTAGGTTACACAAAAGAGCTGCAAAGGGCATTGATGCTTGGAGATGCTGCTTGCGAATAGAGCAAAGGATCCCAGAGTTGGAGCGATTCAAGAGGCTGGCAGTAGCAGTGGGGATGCTGGAGGGTTTCAGCAGTGATCTGACTGCAGCAATGCTGTAAGAAGCTGACTAAATTCAGCTGATAAGAAACTAGGTTTAGGTTTGACAGCTCCAGGGCAGATGCTGGTGCAGGATGCTGCTGAACTGCAGGAATAAGAGCTGGACTTGAAAGTGAGATGAGATCTGAAAAAGCTGTCTGGGAAAGGGGGGCAAGAGAGACTGTTATGCTTGCATCAAAGAGTTATAGCTCTTAAACAGATGACTCGAGAATTGATGCCAAATACCTGGGAAGCCCCAGTTTGCTGTATGGCAGTGACTCAGCCCAACCTGGCAGAGTCGGAAAACAGCCCTGGGCTTCCAACAGCGACAGAGGAAGAGAGCCCCAGCTGCTCACACATGTCTGATAGCCCTCAAAGACAATCACAGACGTTAGGTACAATGCAGCACAAACACCCTCTCACCTTGAATCTGCTTTTAGCCACGTCCAGCAATAGCCAGGGGGGCAAGACTGAGCTGAAATTAAGTGCTAGTAACCAGGGGCTACTGATGCTGAGGAAGTGAGCAGTAAAGCGATGCCTGATCATGGATGGCTGCGACTCCTCCAACCCCGTTGGGCTGCAGGAGGGAGTGTGACTGTCCTTGCACTTCACTGTGTGTCACCACAGACATCTGGCAAAGCAGTTCAGTGGCTCTAGCTCGAATCTCACCCAAACAGGTCACTGTGTAAACATACCTGCAGGGCTTGTGTATCTCTGACATCTAGGAACATTTGCACAGGGCTGGTAACAGGACTCCTAAGGGCTGGTTGCCTGCCTCCCGTGCTGGTTCTGGGCTTGCTCCTTATCTCACTTTGTTCCCAGCATTGTACTGGATGTGAACTGGGCTGTTGGGCAGCCAGAGCTTGGCAGAAAGCCATTCAGGAGAGGCAGCAGCCACCAGACTGAAACCCGGTGAAGAGGGCATCTCCTCTGAGCTGTGGGATAAGGGAGGGGAGAGAAGGTACAAGTGGAAGCTCAGGCAGGAGTTGTATTTCATCTGTGTTTCTCTTGGCACCCGAGTCTACCAGATATTTTATAGTATCACATCCTGGTAACTCAACAGTGGTAGCAGAAGCCAGCAATAAGGGCTAAAAGGACAACTGCAACCTCAGCTGTCCATAGGGATCTTTTGGGATGATCCAACAAGATGCTGGTTCTGTCAAAAACAGGAAATTAAGCTTAGAAACACACTGAGGTTGGCAACTTCACTGAAAGGAGAAAGTGGAAAGTGGGGCTGGGATGAGAGGGAACGGGAACATCCCCCAAGGAAGCAATGGGAGGGTGTCCAGGCCATCTGATGCTGCACCTCCAGACAGACCAACCTGCTTGTGTCAGATGTTACTGCCCAGGATGAGAACACTGAAGCCTTGGACAGCCTGCTTCTCCCTGCTGTTGAATTTAAACTCAAAAGGAATCACAGAGGGAGGGAGGGAGAATCCAAGTGCTGAGAGAAGCCAGACAGTGTTCTATTCCTCTCGGTACCCTGCTTCAGAGCATGTCCTAGAGGAACAGTCACTTGCTAGAAGTATTGTCTAAATCCTGAGTTTGAGCCTCTTTAAAGGTCAGATGCTGAGGTGGCAGCTCACTGCCAGCAAGGCAGGAGGAGAGCTGGGATGCAGTGCTCCGACCCTCTCAGTGTGATGGCTGTTAGAAGGCACTCACAAGCCCTGTAACAAAACCAGGGTGTACATGCTTGTCCAATAAGATGAGAAGAAAGCTCAGCTCCCAAGGTGGTAGTGGCATCCCCAATCCTGCTGGGTTTGCAGGACATAGAGCTGGTTAGGAGGAGGTGAAGGGAGATGACACCTTCCCTTACATGAAGGATGTCTGTTGCTCTTCTGCATGCGGTTCTTCTCATTTAAATGGATTCCTCACAACTAGAGTATTTTTGTACCAGAGCTTATTAAAAGTTACTGATTCTGGAGCACCTCTCAAACCTGCACTCTGTTTTTATCTAAGTCCTTGTTCCACTCTTGGGCAAAATTTGTTCTCTTCCCATGAAAGAGGCCTAGGAACAAAGAATGACACCTTGAAGGCCTTTTAGCTCTACTCTAAGATAAACACATGAGACACAAGGAGCTTCAGTGTCTCTTAATAGTCCTGTAGCACACTGCTAGTTTGCTTTAGTAGAACAGACCTTCTAACAACTGCCTCCTTCTTGCAGTTTACTGAAGAAAAGCTGGGTCAGGCTGAGAAGACTGAACTAGATGCCCACTTTGAAAACCTTATGGCCAGGGCAGACTGCACGAAGAACTGGACAGAGAAGATCTTGCGTCAGACTGAAGTTCTGCTACAGCCAAACCTTAGTAAGTTTAGCTTCTTTTAGTGCTTGAAGGACAACTACCACTTGCAGGTGTTAAAGACATGCCCTCTAGCAGAGAGCCCTGTTGCATTGAGTTTGGGCGGGTTGGAAGGGACACCTTCTCCTGGTGCTTGCTATCCAGTGCATTACTGAGGCTTGCATGGGGTGGGCTACCCTGAACGCCAGCTCCAGGGGTCCCTCCTTCATCCTCCATCCTGTAACCACCAGTGGTATCCTCATTCCAGGTGCCAGAGTAGAGGAATTCCTCTATGAGAAGCTTGACCGGAAGGTGCCTTCCCGGGTCACCAACGGGGAGCTGCTGGCACAGTACATGACAGAAGCAGCTAATGACTTTGGGCCAGGGACACCTTATGGTAAGTCAGCCCTGGGAATCCATCCCTTCCTGAGGCAGCATCCCCTTGACTGTTTTGGGTTAAGACACCTGCAGCATCCTCCTTGAAGAGGGCGCAGTGGCCTGCTCTCCCCTGCGGCAACCTGCCTGTTAGTGTCAAAGCTGAAGCCAGAGAAGGGTCTTCTCTAGCACAGAAGCAAACAGCCCATCTGGAGTAGGAAGTCAAGACTTACTCCACAGCAAAGCATGCTCCATGCTGTGTGGGGAAAGGGATCTCCCCATTCTCAATACTCAAGTCTGGCAGAGATAGCAAAAAAATAAAGACACATGGATCCAGGGTAGGTAATGGAACTGCTTAGAGAACCCAACAATTCTGTGCTATTTCTGTGGCTTTCTAAACCAGCCTGGACAGAGAATTGCAGTGAATGGCTTTGGCTTTGAGCAGTTTAAGCATATCTTGATCTAAGGTGGTATCCAGTTGCAGAGTTTCTATAGGCTCTGAACAGGAGAACCAGCCTTTAACTGTGTCCTGCAAGTGGAGTGTGGAAATCTTTCTCCAGCAGAAAGAGAACAGGAAAACAGACTTGAAAAGGTTGGTGCTTGTCTACAAGGCTTAACAAGCCCCTTCCCGACCACACAGAGCACCTTTCTGCTCTTAAATCCTAACAGTTGCCCCTTTCTGGAGGCATTTGGTACTTCTTTGAGCAGCAGACATGCACAGAAGGTCTTACCTTCCGTCTGTCCTTGCCTCTGCCATGAGCTTTGTTACTGCTCTCCAAATCAATAGCTGTTCAATAGCCAGTCCTGTTGCAGGCAGACCAGCTGTAACTGCACCTACGGCCAGCACTGCCTCATCAACTCATTCTTTCTGCTCTGGTGCTTTTTAATTTGCTGCTCTGTTCCTGGGCCTCTTTTATGAGGCAAACAGCATTCATTCTGTGCATGCAGGTGGAGCAGTAAAAGGACATCAGTGGAGTAAGTGCCTCAGCAGATAGATAACATCAAAGCTGCCTTGCAAGCAGCTGAGAAGAGGCCTCAAGCTAAAAGCAGACTGTAGACAGGGCTGAAGTTGGTGTGGTACAGGCATGGTCACCTTGCCCAGGCAGGATACACAGCGCCTTTGACCCCCAGCGCTGGAACCTGGTGGCTTTAGATGAGTTGGCTGAAGCCAACACAATGTTAATGGATTCTCATGGAGTTGAGGTCTCCTGTTATTGCAGGGAAGACCTTGATAAAAGTTGGAGAGACTCAAAGGCGCTTAGGTGCAGCAGAACGGGACTTCATCCAGTCTGCATCCATCAACTTCCTGACCCCGCTGCGCAACTTCCTGGAAGGGGACTGGCGAACCATAACTGTAAGTGTGGCAGCAGGAAAGGTTTCACCTCACTGGACATGAGAAAGGTGGGGGGAGAGGGAAACAGCACTGGAAGAATTCTCTTTCCCTATAAGAAAGGACTTTCTACCTCTCCCCTGAAAGAATGCAAGGATGGGGGAATACCAGTGCTGGATCTCCTCAGGGTTCCCTCTGTGGCAGGGAAGGGTTGCCAGTTGTGTGCATGAGGAAGATAATTCCTTTCCTGACTCCTGAACCTTAGTGCTGCCCTATTCCTAGAAAGCAAGCCTGTATCCCTGGCAGCCAGGCTCAGAACCCCTGCTAATGAGATGAACATAGCAGATGCTTCTTTCTCTCTAGCATTTTTTAGAAGGAAACAGATCTGATTCCTACATGTTACCTTGTCCCCTTCCTTCCCCAAAAGTCCTGGGTCTGCTCTTACCCATTTTCTATGTCTTCCAGAAAGAGAGGAGGACCCTGCAGAACTGCCGCCTGGACCTGGATGCCTGCAAGGCCAGGTTGAAGAAAGCCAAAGCTGCCGAGGCCAAAGCAGCGGTAACTGTCTCCCTCCTTCCCCTCTCTGTCCTTCTTGCCCAGGGTTTGGCTCACATGGACAAAATTAGGCTGCTCCATCGTGTCCTGGCTCTGCAGGCATGGGAGAGCAAGGAATTCCTTGTCTAGTGCACAAGGGAATTGTGAGCAGGAGCCACGGACCTGTCCATAGATGTCCTCCCTTGGGGGAGCTGCTGCAACATATAGTTGTGAGCTTCCAGAGTCTGGAAAGTTCTACCTGACACTTTTCTGCCTCCTGACTGATAGTGGTTGCTGGATGATTTGTGCTAGTAACTAAGGGCTGCATCTTCTGAGGACTAAGTTTCCCTGAGGAATCTTAAAGCAAGCCAAGAGAGTGCTGAGCTGGGAAGTGTGCAAGGGAAGCACCTGCTGAGGCTCTGCAGCAGCCCCATGCTTTCACACAAGTTAGGATTCTGCCAACTCAGTCTTCCCCAGGCAGGAGTGCTGCAGGAGCCTGTAAGGCATGGCCAGGGGTCAGACTGGCCACCCAGAGGTCCTTCCCTCAACCTCTGCATTTAGTTCATTGTGCTGTTGAGTTCCGGGCTAGTCCTGTCCTCTCCCTTTGGGGAGACCATGGCAAGTAAACTACCAAAGGTGCCAGGTCAGAGCAGTGCAGAAGGGGCTGGTAAATCAGTTAGTGCCACTGTCCACAGGCCTGGGTAATGGGGACAAGCACTTCAAAGTGCCTGTTTGAGGCTGACACCACCTCAGGGTGTTCCTGGGCCTAAAGCATCTCCTAAGCTTGGCTCTTCCTGGGCAGGGGCGGTGTAGAGGAGGCAGAGAGGATGTAGCTGGGCACTGCTGGGTTCCCTGGAGGACCCTGTTGAAGCAGACTGCCATCCCGTAGTGCTCTGGCTGTTGGCACAAGGACATGCCAAGTTCTGCTTCTAGCCTGGGGCCAGGAGCTCAGCTACCAAAGGTGCAATCAGAGTAGGCTGGAATCCTTGTCAGTCAGTCTCTGGGATAGCAGCCTAGGAGCCCTGCCATAAACCTGTTTTGTAGCCATCTGCTCAGCTGGGCCTCTGGCCTTGCAGCTCCCTGCATGACCAGTTCCCAGGTGTTTTCCCCTTTCTCCAGCCCTAACTGCATACGTGCCATATGGGAAAGCTGTGCTAACCTCAGCAGCCTCCCTGAGCAGGTCTAACAGAGTGCTTAGGCCTGTGTGGGGAAAAGCCTGAACAAAGCTTTGGGTGAATAAAAGTCATAGCTGCCCTTTTAAAAGAAGAAAAGCTTCCTCTCATCAGTCAGGTCACTCAGATACATTGAAGTTAACTTCAGGGATCGCAGATTCCCCTCTGAAGTGCCCCCAGTGTCAGTGGGAAGTGGTGGCCATTGCTTTATCTTAAGCTCAAATCAGAGCAGGAATTCAGATACCTCCTCTGCTTCCTCCATTTTCACCCTCTTTGCTTCCTACATGAAGTGATCCCAAGGCCTCTCACTTGCACCCAGACCCTTGGGTGAAGGACTTCTCTGTCTGGAAAAGAAAAGCCTGGTTTCCCACTGGACCTGCAGGGCTGGGTGCCCCAAGCAGGATCAGAGTCACTCCAGGCTTTCCAAGGTGTTTCAGCCACTCTGCTTTGAAACAGAGATCACACAACAGAAGATAACCTCAGCTGCTGTTGTGGGCACCCATCTCCTACCCAGCCTAGTTTAAATGTGGGGTCCCTGGCTGCTTCACTTAACTGCTAGAGGACAAGACACAGGTAGAAGCTCCCAACAAAGCAGGGGACAACTGCTGCCTCTGCTCCAGACACATGAACTCATCATTAGAGCACAACAGTTCCCTGTGACACACCTGGAATCCCATGCCCCACCTCTCCATCCAAGCTGGCCTCAAGTAGGGCACCTCTCCCAGCTCACCACTCTCTTGCTGCTCTTCCCCTCTGCAGTGCAAACTTGTGTTCCTACAGCTTCTGTGTCGTGACTGACCCTCCACGTGTGCCGCTGCCCAGGCCTGTGAGCTGCTGTGTGGGTGTCTGGGCTTGTGCATTTCCCTTGGACTTTGTGCTTTGTCCTTCCTGTTGATGCTGTTTTGTTCACTAACCTTTTTGTTTTGTTTCTTTGTGATTTGCTCAGTGTGAGGGAGATGTGAGTATTGACTGTGCTAACAGTGCTGTGATGGGTTCGTTTTCTTTGCCACCTCTCATTGTCTCTTTCCTATTTTAAATGAAAATTCCTATCTCCCTTGTCTCATTGGGACTGGCCCTGGAGCATGTACTGAGTGTGGTCAGGGCTGTGGCTGCCTGGGGAGGGTGCTCCAGAAAGATGGGAGCATCCGTCAGCTGCTTGCAGCCCCTCTGGAGCATGCACTGGTTCCATCACCACTGCTTGCAAGCAATGCTCAAGAGAGGCAGAGGCTCCCACTCAGGCTCCTCTGGCTGCAAGCAGAGGAGGTTGGGTTGGGTGGCAGCTCCCTTTCCTGGAAGGGAGGCAGCCAGAGACAATGACAGGCAGGTTGAACTGGTTGTGGTGCTGTTCTGTCCTCCTGGCTCTAGGGCTCTGCCCGTTTTCCCCATTACAAGAGTGAAAGGGGGAGGGAGGTGGATCCCTTTTGACCACTGCTTGCAAATAAAACTTCTCCATGCACAGGCGTGCAAGAGCAGCTTGCCTCCTTCATCCCATGTGCTGTGACTAGTTGTGGGACTCCCTGGAGACCAGGGAATGGGAGGAGATGGCTCTTAACCTTAAAAGATAAAGCCTAAGAAGCTATTCCTGTGGAAGATCTCTTCTCCCCACAGGGAGGAGTCAAGCCTAGTTGCTGTGCTGGCCTCAGATCTCACTGGTACATTTTTCTCCCTGTATTCAGGTTTGACTTGTACCAGGAATCCTCCTTATTCCTTCCTCCAGCCATCCCCAAACCTAGATGGTTTACAGAAGCTCTCTTCTTGTGGGGACTGCCTGAGTGCTCTGCCACCCACTGCTCACTCATCCCAGCAAGCTGCTTGGGGCCCAGCAAACCGGGTCAGCGGGTATAAGTAGATGTGGGTGAGCTGCAAAGAGATTAACCTGGCAGAGGAAATGTGGGGCCTGAGAGGATTAAAACATAGCTGAGTTACAGCTGGATTGTGTGCCAGCCTCACAGCCCAACCACTGCAGGTAAAGGCTGCCCAAGGAAGATACCCTGATCCATAGAACCAGTGTCATGGTCCTGACGTAAGCTAGCTCGCTGGCTTATCTTTTTGGGTATTGCTACAGCCAAAGGCCATCCTAGGAGGAGGCCTAGCCTTAGCTTAGCTGAATAGAGACCACGTTATGTGCTGGTTAGTGAGCCCACACATACGTGCAAGTGAACTGGATCCCTTACATTCCCAATAAGAAAAACTTCCAGAGTGCTCAAGTCTTCTTGCCCCAGGGCAGAGGTTTAGCTATGGAGAGGGTGGCTTGAAGGTTTTATGACCTCTGAGATGAAAACTCTTACACTACCTTTGGCAACAGCAAGGCTTTGGCCTAGATCTGCTTTGGCTAAGCCATGCCCCTTACTGAAAACAGATCTGTTAGGAAGAAACGTGCCCAGAAGCTTGGGGAGAGTAAGAACGAGAGGTTTGTTTAACAGGCACTGTGGAAAGGGTGCTCTGGTGCTAGTAAACATGCTCACCTTAAGGATAGGGCCCTCCACAGGGACACTTTTAGGTCAGTGGGTGGGAAGCATGGGGAAGGAAGGTCCTGCCCACTGGACTGAGCCAAGATGACACGAGCAGCCTGCTGGCTGCAAGGGAAGGGAAAACGCATCTGAGATTGTGCTGTTTCATGTCCACTCCAACTGGCTGCTGTACAAGCTGTAAGTGCAGGCAGAGTTTTAACCGTAGAAATACCTGCTGGTTGAGTGACTGCATGAGCCAGTCCACCTCCTCTTGCACAAGCCTGGCTTCCACACACCACTGCCCAGACTGCTGGGAGACCTCCCTCTTCCATCCATAAGAATTTGAGCTAAGTTCCCAGCACAGACAGGAGAAAGATGCTGGTCCCTTCTGTCATCCGTTGCCCAAGTGACTCCTGTGGCCTCCTGTGACTTGTACATGAAACTCTATTCCCCCATTAGGCTGTGCCTGACTTTCAGGAGACTAGACCTCGTAATTACGTTCTCTCCGCCAGCGCCTCAGCGGTAAGATTGCCTCCCCATAGATGTTGCCTCTCCAACCTCTTCCTGCCCCTCTCTCCACCTGACTTACAAATCAGACCCAGTGCTCTGCTGTTTTCAACATTTTAATGTGACATGGGCTGCCCAGGCTTCCTCTGACTCCACCTGAAGGATGCACATCACCCCTGGAGGGGTGCATGGTCAGGGCCTGGCGCTTTGGCTCCTTGGTTTGCTTTCCAGTTTCTCTGCCAATCCTTTCCTATGTTTCTGGTGGGGATATTCTGACTTTTTTTTTATTGCTAGTACAGAAATTGAAAGGAAAAAACTCAAAGGTGAGCCTTTCTGGGTGGCTCCAGCTGTACACCGGCAATGTACATGCTTGACATCCTGATCAGTACTCGGAGGCTTTGTATTTGGTCAAGAGAAGCAAAGGTGGAGGAATCTCTCTGCCACCCATCGTGTCAGAAACACAGTCTGACAGTTTGGACTTGCCTATTCTGCATAGAGAGATCATTTTTTTCCTTTCATCTTGGGGCCTGTCTGTTGGTGGCTGTTCTGCAGGCAGATGCTCTGGGGGTGGGGGAACAGCCCATTGCATCCCTACTGTGTTGCACTGAGTGGTTGTGGTCAAGCAATTGACTTTCCGTGCTGTGTTCATGCCTCCCCATTGCACAATGTCACATTGCTCCTTAAAATGTTGAAAACTGATCATCTTGCTTCCTAAACAGCATTCATAACTACACTGATGCCTGGTCATAGACTAATCTGGGAGTGGAAGGGCTGGGAAGTGGGATCTATAGGGAAAAAAAGGATAGCCCAGCCTTCTACAAACAAAAACACCATGGAAACAAGTTGGGTTTGGTTAATGGGAAACTCTTCCCATTTGAAGAAAGAGGTAGGTCTGAGCTGATAGCATCAGTGTTAGCTCCCAGGGGGATCTGACCTGACCTTCTTGGAGAGTGATGCTGGGATCAGAAATAGCTTTGCACTGTAGCTGGAAAACTATTTCCATAGTAACAGGCTCAATGATGGGATTCCTTAGGAAGAAGCTGGTACTGGTGATGCTGTAGTAATTGCTCAGCTTTTATCTACTACAGCAACTAGCAGTGAGCCTGCAGTGCTGCCTTCCCCCTTGGAAAGGTTTGTTCCAAGGACAGCACAAGAATGGACTAAAACTGATCTCCAGGAGAACTGGAGGAGAGAAACTGGGCTTTCCTGCCTCTGAATAGCTCTGATTGGACCAGGGGATCCTCATCATTCCCAGAGGCTTTCTAAAGCACACCTGAAGGCAGGCATTTGCATAATACGGCTCAGCACCTTGCAGAGCACCCAGATGCTCAGCTGAACATGTCTAGCCCTCACCACACTGTGAGCTGGTCTGCTTTTGCTGTACTGCAAAGCTGTTCTGGGGAGCAGATGCCAAGTACAGTAACAAAACAGGAGTAGATTTTGTGGGGGTTCTTAGACCATAGGTGTCTACCCTGCCACATCTGTGCCCAGTTCAGTGGTCCCCCTTCAGAGCTCTGCTAGAGAAGCTCTGACAGCAGCAATGATGATACAGGGCAGCTAGAGCAGGGCTCCAGGAGACAGGCTTGCTCTAGGTGAGCAGCCAGCACTGACCTTCATCACGGTTGATGGTTGCAGAGCAAGGCCTCGCACCAGGAAATCTGCTGTGGTCCTTGTGGCTTCCATACCATCTGTTTCAGAGGTTGCAGTTGGTGGTTATTGCAGCCTGGAATAACAATTGGCATCTCTAGTTAGGAAACGTGCTGAGCCCAGGCTGCTCCCCAGCTCCATGCAGGCAGCACCGCTGTGCAAGCAGCTCTCTCATCCCAGCACTCACCCCAAGGGGTCAGGCACCATGAAGGTAGGAGCTCTTCATACTCTTGCTCTGCTTCTCTTCCAGGCCAGAGTCCTTGTGCTGCTTTAGTCTCGGTGTGTACTGGCAGTATAGAGCAGTGGTTGCTGCTCAGCTTGCTGCTGAGCACTGCTCCTTTCTGGAGGAGGGGATGGCTTCCTATGCCCAGGTAACAACTTTGTCTCAGAGGAGCAGCTAGGTCAGCTCTCTCCTGGACCATATGCCCTCTACAGAGCATTGATTGGGATTCTAAAGTGATGTTTGGTTTTGGAGAGCTGGATAACATGGTGCTTTTGCTTCTTCCCCTTCCATAACAGGAGGGATTAGATGGAATTAGATCCATCTACAGAAAGCACCTCCCTTGTTTGTATGTGTTGGGGGCTGAGGAGCCATTTCTCCTCTCTCCCACACCGACCTTTTGAATTTGTGTACGGTTTACATGGGCAGCATGAGCCTCAATATCCCTTTCTCTCAGACCCTGCCACTTGCCATGTGCTATGCTCCTAGGAGTGATTCCAAGAACAACACATTGAGTTCCTTAAAGAGGGTTCCTCTGGCTTGAGCTGCGGTGGAGGAAGAGGGGTGCAGATCATGACCTTTTCTACTCCCTGGGCTGCTTGGGCCACACAGTGCCTTAGTCCAGGGACAGAGCTGGGTAAAGCTGCCCCAGAGCAGCACAGGAGCATGGCTGGAGATCACACAGCAAGGCTAATAGAAGAGAAACAAATCAAGCTACAAATTCAATGGTTACTGCAGGGATTAAATGGGCCTGAAACGGCCTCAGTACCATCCTCAGCCTCTAAGTAGGCAGACCTGTAGCTGGAGTGAATGGTTCCCATTGCCCCTATAGCAAACCTTGCTCCAAAAACACAAGGGTGTGCCTGCAGAGGCCTTGTGCCAGAGCAGCACTTCAAGCTAGGACCTGCCTACAGAGATCTCCCCACCATCTGCCTTCCAAAGCCTTTAGCCTGAGAAGGGGAAGGAGTTTGTGTCCCCATGACTGGGATTGCCCAGGCACTATTTAAACCAGCTCTCAATTTGCAGTAACAAAACATCCTCCTAAAGCTCAGAGCAAACACCCAGCCTCAGAGCACCGAGTGCTCCACAGAGACACCCTGGGATCACAAGGGGACCAGCCAAAAGAATTCTACTCTGGTAAGAGGAGATGCCACTCAGGGTACATACCATGGAACAGGAGCTAACAGCAAGCTGATGAACCCAGTGTAACATCTTCCTGCTTCATGAGCACAGGCAGCTCCTCCTTATATTGGCTGGTGAAGTCTTCTCATCACCTGGGGCTACCACAGCCCACCTGAGGCAGCTGATGGTGAGCAAACCTCTACAGGGTTCAGCTGGGAGACCTTGGGTTTACACAGATCATGTTCCCCCTCTGACACCACAGCATCCACTACAAGGCTCCCACGTGCCTGCAGTGCATTTCAGCCGTGCCGTGGTGAACATCCCTGATGTGCAAAGGTGACGTGAGAGGGTGAAGCTGAGGTCCTCAGAGGCCATCACCCCCGGCCTCACTGATGGAGGTGTTGCTGCTGTGCTCCCAGTTGATCCAGGGTGATTCGTGTCGCCAGAGCTGAGGGAGTAGTTGTGTGCCGAGGACCTCTGGGAAGGATCAATGTGTTTTTCTACCTCTTCTCTCCCTTTCCCATTGCTGCACGTGACTTTTGTTGTCAATTGTTTCATGTCCTGGAGCCAGATCCCAGCAAGCAGCTGGCAGTGTTGTGCTGCCCCAAACGTGCCCCCATGAGTGAGGAGGGGAGGAGGGAGTAGCGTGATGTTGTGCCTGTCTCAAAGGCAGCATCCTGCTGCTTCTTCCTCCTTGCTGTACCTAAACACTCCTGTTGGTAGCACAGACTTGGCTGGATTGTGATCCCGTTAACCTCAGCTCTCTGGACCAGTGGGTGAGGAACGCTGGCCTCTGCCTGCCTTGAGCTCATGGCATCTCCCAGGCCCTATCCGTGGGCTCAAGCAAGTCGCTTGCGTCTCACAATCCTAAAGGAAGGGCTGTCCTCAACACCAACCCCTGCAGGCTACAGCAAAATTGCTCTTCAGAGGACTCTGCTGCTTGGTCCTCCTGGAGCCCTCTGAGAGCAGCTGCTGTAACAGCCCTGGCAGGGAGCATCATGTGCTGGCTCTGGTGGTGTGGACTTGCTCCCCCATCATAAAACTGAGCTCAGGGATGCAGGAGTGAGGGGAATGGGCATCAATGTGGCAGCTGCTGCTGGGTGAAGGGCGAGCTTGTCTTGGAGTTGGCTTCCTGTGTCCACGGAGCATCCTTCCCCATTGGTGTTAATGCCGAGTGCTTCCCGACGTCTCCAACACTGATCTCCTTTCCTGTTGCTCTGTGGCCCCTACAGCTTTGGAGCGACGAGGTGGAAAAAGTAAGTACCCAGCTGAACTTGTGCTCAAAGCTTCCGGGGGTGATGCTGGCGTTCAGGGGTGGGGGTGCTGTGGACTCCTTCCCTGCACGCAGGCAGGGGAGGATCAGTGGGATGTTCCTGTCATCAGCCCCATCCTGGTCCTGCAGCCCTATGGTTCAGGGCAGCAGTGACTTGGGAAGAGCCTGCCCTGCGGGCTGGTGGCTGTACCTGCTGTGAGAGGCAGTCTTGGGTGTGTGTGTGTGAGAAAAGGCAGCTCTGAGGACCCTGCACGGGTGTCACAGAGCAGAGGTGCTGTGCTGTGACTCAGCTCTGCTCTGGTGGCAAAGGCCCTGCCTGCTCCAGTTTTGCATGTGCCATGCATTAGCCTCTAGTAGCCCCTTGCCTGCTTGTTCTGGGGTCCCAGCAGGAGCTCTGAGCAGAGCTGAAGCCAGGACAGAGGGTTCCCATGAGCAGCCCCAGCTGCCAAAGGGAGCAGTTCTGTCAGGAGGGCAGGGGGAGGTTTGGAGCCTGTTGTGGGTTGTTTCTGCCTGGGTGAGCTGTGCTTACCCTTCTGAGCGAAGCCATGGGGGCAGAGTCCCAGCTCTTGTGTTCTGGGCTCTGCACGGGCAGTGAGACTTGTCCATGAAGATGGATGGAGGGCTGCTAGTGGCCTGGAGACCAGGGTGAGCTCTGTGTGCAGCTCCAGCATGGTATGGAGCTTCCAGAGCCACCTTCTGGGATCCCATTGCCTTTCATACCTCAAACACCCCCGACTGATGGTGGCCTGAAGCCTGAGCTGTGAGGTGGTCGATGGCACGTTCCTGCATGCTGTGCATGACAGCAACCCCAGCTCATCTGTACTTTAAATCCTTCAGTCTCTCAAACAAACAAGTTGATTGCAGTCAGCTCTAGGCATGAAGGCTCTGTTCCTCCATCTGTCCTGGCTGGATAGACCAATGTCAGTAAGCTTCAATGTTCTCCATGTCTTGGAGAAGCACAAGGCTGTGACCTCCCAGGCCACAGACCACCGCTGGCTTTATAGGAAACTACGTCCTGCAACTGCTCAGAGCTGGCAGGGAGAGGGTCACATCCAGGCAGTGCCAAGTGGAGCTGGGTCTGCCTGACACAAGTTTCAGATAGCAATGCTGCCACTGAAGTCAGGAATCTCTTGGTGCTTAGGAAGGCATTGCACTGGTATTGCACTGGTATCGCCCTGGCATTCCCCGGTACATTCCCCTTTCTCCTTTAAATAATCCCTTTCATACAGAGGATGCAAGAAAATAGATCAGTTGTAGCTTAAAATAGACAAATCTGATTAAAAAGCTGTGAAAGCATTTCTTTGTTCTCACTTAGCTGTACACTGGTAGCGCTGCTGACAGATGAGGGATGCAATGGGTAGCAGCAGCTCCTCCAGCTTGCCCTGCTGAGAAGGCTGGGTCTCCTCTGGGGTGCCCATCGATGGGGCCACTGCTCTGAGAGCACCAGCCTGGCTGCATTAGCCCTCTGGGGTCCATTCCAGACTGGCTGCTTCTTCCAGTAAGCTGTGGCTGAGTGACCATCACTTCTGTGCTTGGGTCACTGCACACATTGAGGGGGACCTGGCCTGCTCCACTTGGTGTTAAGGAGCAATGCATGCTAGAGAGAACGCTGCCTGCTTGTCACCCCTTGCCCTCTGGCAGCAGGAGGAGAGAGCAGGCACCAGAGCTCCTGATGGCTCCAGGACTTCTGGAGCTCTTCTCTTTGCAATGCTTCACCTGGGTGTTCTGGCACTGCAGAGCTGCCCTAGGGTAAATATGCTGTTTGGTGATGGGCGACAGAGGTTCTGTCTGGTACCGTCTCTGGGATCAATCTCTGAATTCCCAATGTCTGCTGCATAGCTGCTTTCTGTTAACCATTGTTCAGTTCCTCCTAGCTCAGAATAAGTAACTAGCTTCAAAGGAGAGCCTTGGGTAGCGGTTGGATTGGGAAGTTCATCTCCATTGCAGAAAGATCTAGTAACAGCAATTTGGTAAATGCTCCCTGGCCTCAGCCCCTGCTCTGTGGTGATCAAGAGGATACCAGCAAAAGCTGCACCTTCCTGTGCCTGTAGGCTTAGAAAGAGGGGCTTAAAAGCACAGGTGCTGGCATGGGAGTGGCTTTCCACATACCTCAGCATTAACAAAGCCCCTCCATCTTCATGTTCTAGTCTTATGGGAGTAGGAGCTTCCTGGGTGCATCAGTCTTGAGATGCACTGGTCCAATGCAGGATCAAGCAGGAATCAAGTCAAAGCCCAGCCAGAGGCTCCTGGGATCCTCACCCAGGTCATGATGCTCGGTGCCAGAGGTGCAGGTGGGCCCTGCTGAGCCAGCAGCACGCTTGTCTCAGTGCAAAGGGGGGTTGGAGAAGGAGGAGGTGGCTGCTCCCCTCTGGAAGAGGCAGAACAGGGCCCTTGCCTCCTGCTGTCCTGAGCACCCTGTCCTGTTTTGCAGGCCGAGCACGAGCTGAGGCTCACACAGACCGAGTTTGATCGCCAGGCAGAGGTGACACGGCTGCTGCTGGAGGGGATCAGCAGCACACACGTGAGTAACTGCGGGGGGATGGAGACTACGGGGACTCTTGGCTCCTTTCTAGAAGGATGCCATGAGGGTCATGGAGCCCTGCACTGGGAGCAGAGGTACAAGAGGTCCTAAGTTTGGATGCTACCTCCTCGTAAGAGCTGGAATGCTCGAGCTAGAAACACAATGAAGCAGGCACAGGCAGTGCCTCTGTGGCATCTGCCGTTCTGTGGGCCTCAAAATGCTTCCAAGCCAGAAAAACCTTGTTGTTATGTCTCTAGAGCTGTGAATCAGGCACAGGGACATGGCTGGAGTGCCAGGAGCAGCCTCCTCTCCGAGATCACCCCCGTGCCTATGCGACATTCCCAAGTTTAACAGATTAGTGTATTCAAGCAAACCAAGTCACTCGGTTAAATAGTGGCCTGCACGAGCCTGCTTGCCTTGGGGTAGGTGGTAGCTGCAGGAAGAGAGTCCCTGTGCCTGGCAACCAGACTCACAGCCCAAACTCCTTCTCCCTCCAGGTGAATCATCTTCGCTGCCTCCACGAGTTTGTGGAGTCTCAGACCAACTACTATGCTCAGTGCTACCAGTACATGCTGGACCTGCAGAAGCAACTGGGCAGGTGAGACAAGAAATGGCTCTTACTTCTCTGAGGGTTACCCCCGGCTCTGGCCTCCTTCCCCATCTCACATCACAGAAGTTATAAACTCCCTCCAAGCTCCCCCAGAGCTCCTGAGCACACAGATTGGAGGCCAGCCCTGGCAGTACTGCATCTAGAGCAGACTTTGCCATTGGATTCATGTGGGGTTTGTGCATTCATCTCTCATGGTGGCTTGGAGAGTCTGAACATCCTTCCTCTAAATCAGTTAGATCACATGGGAGCACATTCCTGTTGCCAAGCAGCAAGCCTGAGCATGCTCAGCTGCAGCAGGAGCTGCACATCCCATGGGCACAGCAGGGATGTTTTGTCTGTTACCTGTCTCATCAGCCTGACCCAGGAGGGGCTGTTGTTGCCTCTGTGTGATCACTCACTACTCCTGTTCCATTCTTTTCCATGCTGGCAGCTCCAAAGGAGAAATGTAAGTACGATGTTGCACACAATGACCTCTAAGAGCTCTCCACCTCAGCCTTCGCCTTATTGCAAAGGCCAGAGCTGCATTCCCTTAGTGCAGAGTGGGTAAATGAGATCAGTGAGACTGAGCTCCATCGCTGACTCTCTCCAGAGAGCCCAGAAAGCCTGGAGCTTCCAGCTGTGGCATCCAGTTTAACAGCAACAGTGACTGTCCCTTTCCTGAAGGACAAGCAGACTAAACAGATAACACAGAGCATGTG